CATATACACAAACCAGTCAATGTTTCACAGTGGACTGTATGCTACTTCTAATAGTTAGAGTTCTCCTAGAGTTATCCTTATACAGGCTTATGTGAAACTAAGTCTGACTGAGTAGAGTGGGATTAGTACATATAACTGGCCTTATGCTCTTAGGATCTGTCCTAGCCTCCCTCGCAGAAGGGACACACTCACCATATGCATCTGAACTAGTTGCTATGTTAAGATTTCAGTCGTATGCACACTTTGTTGTTGTTATATATTATCAATACAGTACAAGTTTATTCTACAGCCAAAGGCATGATAAAATACAATATAAGCACAGTATAAATTCACAAAGTAAATTTAAAAAGCTTAAAATTAGTTGAACATCAGGATTCTCTTTTGAGTTTTCTGGGCAGAGTGAAGATATAATATCAAGTCAGAACCAACCTATATAGCGACTCTAATAAGACTTTCAAGTTAAGTGACATACTTAAGGAGTAGTTTTACCATTTCCGCATGCCCAGTGAGTTTACGTGGCTGAGTGGGAATTTGAACCCAGGCCTCCTGAGACTTAGTCTATCATTTTATCCACTAAAACACACTGAGTACTCTATGCACACTTACCAGGGAGTAGGCCCTGATTAAAATAGTGGATCTTATTTTTTTGTTGAACAACTATAGCAGTGATAGCAAGCCTATGGCACGCGTGCCACAGCTGGAACACAGAGCCCTCTTTGTGGGCATGTGAGCCATAAGTCACCAGATCGCTGCTCCCCTCCTCCCCCCCCCACAGCCAAACCTGAGAAGGCAGCTGCAGCCGCAGTGCTGGTGCCCCAACAGGAGGCAGGCCAGGATTCTGAGCAGCTGGTGGGGCCTCGAGGCCACTTCTGGTTCCGCCCCTGCCCACCACCCACTGTTGTTGTTTTCTTTCTTTTTTTTCTTTTTAATTTGGGCACTCGGGCCCAAAAAAGTTCACCATCACTGATCTGTAGGATTGCCTGCAAAGGGGACACTGAGGCCAATTCCTGTGTAGATGTACGTGAAAGTTGCATTGGATTCACTGGTTCTTATCCCTCCTACGATTCCAACTGTTTTCAGGGGTTTATTTAGGAATTGCTTCAAGATACTGTAAGCGGCAACCATCATATAGTCATTCAATGAGAAGATAGGGAGATTTTTAGAAAACTGAAGCCATGCTCTGACTCAGTTCCAGAGTGAAGTGGGCAAAGCTTGGAAAAATTAGTTCTCCTATTAGAAGTCTCAGCCTAGCTAGTCAGCACGGAATATGTGGAATACTTCTTCGGCATTGTTTCGATTTAGTTTCCTAAAAGAAAAGCTAATGTTGTTGCTGATTTTGTTGTTCTGCCCCACTATCTGATTTAGGAACTGGCGAGAGAATTCCAGGCAGAAGCCCAGAGGTCTGGAAAGGAAAGGCTGCTCCTGACAGCTGCTGTGGCAGCTGGGAAGGAAACTGTTGACAATGGCTATGAAGTTGACAAGATTTCACAGTGAGTATCATCAGAGAAATGTGAGCCCAAGGGGAAATACTGTTCCATCAGGACATGAGCCACAACAAGTAAGCACGCTTGCACGTAGACCAATTTAGCTCATTAAGTTCACTGGATAATAAACCATACCTCCAGTCCCATAATTACTCACAATGATTCCTCACTTATGATTCCTCTGCTAGAGGTGGAAATAAATATTATGGACTGTTTCTCCTTTCTTTCCATGCAGATCTCTGGACTTTATTAATCTCATGACATACGACTTCCATGGATCTTGGGAAAGAGTCACAGGACATGTCAGTCCTCTGTATCCTGACACAGTATGTATTGTGTCTTCTTAATAGTTCTCTTGCTGTTCCATGTACTCTCGTGAACTCCACTGTTCCTGACCAGTAGAGGCTAGTCTGTTAGGTCAAATGGGGCACCATCTCTTGTCTTATGGCTAGAAAGGCTGGTAGAAATCACATTTCCACCCCACAACTAGTAGCAAATCACACATGACAGTGAGTAAACTCACAGAACCAGCAGAAGGGACTATGCACAAGAGCTTGCTTTAAGATCCCCTGCTTTTACAACCACTCCAGTATTACCTAATTCTCTTCCACAAGCATCCAAAATTAAATTTTACAGTCTCTGCACTGGCACACTGACATCAAGAAATGCTGCAACCAAAGAAGGCAGAGGTAATGAGTGACAGAGAAGGAGCAAGCAAGACTGCACAGAACAGATGTTCTGTGCAGTCATCCATCTATTCCTATATTTGCTATATTCTTCAGGTTAGCCTGATGTTCAGTGTTTACGATTTGTACTCCAGTGTCATTGGAAGAGAAGAGAAAGGGAACAAAACCAGAATACATTAGGGTTTGGCTCAACAGTTCCATAGTGTCTGGTATGCTATTTGGTGTGATCCTTGAATCTGCATAGCATACACATCTCAAGTGACCCCATTTGGTCCACCTTACTTTAAAAAAAGGAAGAAAACAAAGAAAAAATCTCCTTCCTTGCCCCTTCCTTCTAGAGGAAGTTTCTAATTTCTGAATACCATTAAATGAGCAAGCTTATTGATATTGGGAAGTTAAAACCAGAGGCAAAATGTAAAGTAGTAAGCTCCGCTTTGGTTCAATTGCAATGAGTGCACATGCTGAGGATAAAAAAAAAAAACAGAGCGATCCTGCACTTTAAAAAGAGTAGACCCTGATAAGGAACCAGAATAGTGTGGATGGGCTGGTTCACACTGGCATTATGTCACCAGCAAAATGAGTGAACCAGCTTGTCCCAAACAATGGGACTAATGCCTGTTTAGTCATCCGTAAGTCTCACGTAATGTTGACAAAGGGGATCCATATGACACCTTGAAGACTCTCCTCTAGTAGGTGACTGGGTGAGAAGCCGGCTTTATTCAGTCCATGTTTTACCTATTTGAGAAAGATGAAGGAAGCATCAAAGACTGAGGCACTGACTCAGTCAACCCTCTTTGTCAGAGAGTCACTGGGATCAGGTGTTGTTCTCCTTACATTGTTCCTTTTCACAATATCCCTTAAAACTGTTGTTCAGTTCAGTGCCAGTCTCCCACTTGTTCCCCTCCTCTGACATGATGGGGCTTCAGGGAGAGTTGAAGGGGCAGGACCTCAAAGAAGGCCTTCTTAGGCTAGATGGGTGGGGGTTCTAGACTGGTTTTTATAAAGCAATGTGAAAGGACTGCAGTGGCCAAGGAAAATCAACACTCCCTACCTGCCCCCCCCCATGGAAACACTCTGTAGAATTTTGGAGATCAGTGATAGAAACTTTGCACTATAAAAGATGGAGGTATACAGAGAAAATGCTCTGGATAACAACACTAAATACTGTAATGCTGATAGAAATCATGCTTTCCCTCTCATTTACTCTATCCAGGATAATGCTGTGAAATACTGGATAAGCAAAGGGGCCCCCGCAGGCAAGATTGTCATGGGAATTCCTGCCTATGGAAAAACCTTCACCCTTTCTTCCTCACAAACTGGAGTCAATGCTCCAGCATCAGGAGCTGGGACAGCTGGAACTTACACAAGAGAGGCTGGATTATTGTCTTATTATGAGGTAGGCAAGATTTCCTTCCCTCCCTTCCTCCTTCATCCATCTATTCCTTCATCCTTCTGTCTTTATATCCAGTTATGCTCACCCCACTTCTTCAAGCAGTTAGAAATTCCAGAGCAGTAGTACTTCTCAAAGTTGTTTCCTTTAGCAGAGGGCCACCTGAGACCTATTGGTGTTTCTAGACTTTGCATTTATTTGCAAGTAAACTGGAGGCACAGTTTAAAAGAGAAAACCAAGAGATATCATGAAGTTTACTGCTCCCACAACAGATCTGGAGAGAGAGGGTCACCCTGATCCTGTTGGCTTACAAAGCTCCCATTTCTATAAGCTCAGTTCCGCATATCTTTCAAAAGGCTGCAGCCAGTTGTTTTATTTATTTATTTTGGAAGACTTCCACGTAGTCCTAAATTGCATCACTCTTATTTGGAGAAGAAGCTATTCCTGTATTGCCTTTTCTGATTGTTTTTTCCTATTCACAACATCCCAGAGTCGTCCTTTGCAAAGGACAAATGCCTAACAGTTATCTCTCATCAAGCCTCATATAGTGTGGTGCGGTGCACATAGAGCACACAAGCTCTGCATGCTTACAGGGCTCTCTCTTGGTGGTGGGAGTGGGAGGAGGTGCATTTCCAGCACCTTTCTTGGGGATCTGGAGACTGGTGGGGCTTTACCATAAGAGGAAGTGGTAAAGGGCTGTTACATTTTAACAGTTTAATAATAGTGCTAAAGCCACAGTGAGCAGACCAACAACATTCTTATTTTGCACTAAATGGCCCAGTGGGGATGGTGCTATGTACAAAGCAGTGGCAAAGAATGTTTAATTAAAGACAAAAAAGTGGGAACATTCTTCTGCTACCTTCTGTTACGATGTGTCCTTTGGTGTAGGCGAGGTTGGACCTTCACTCAAAGCACTTTCCTTTTCTGATCCCTTTTTGTGCTTTAGGGATGTAGCTGTCCTCTTGGGGAGAAAGGTGAGGTAAAATTGTTTTAAAAATGAATGAATTAATTAATTCTACCTTGTTTCCCAAAAAATAAGACCTAACTTGAAGATAAGCCCTGGTATAATTTTTCAAGATGCTCATAATATAAGCCCTACCCCCAAAATAACCCCCAGTTAAGTGAAACCCTGCCCTCCACCATTGGGCAGCACTGGGCAGCAACTGGAAGATGACATACTGTATTTGAATAAATGTAGATTGTTGCACACTCACAGAAATAAAACATCCCCTGAAAATAAGTCCTAATGCATTTTTGGAGCAAAAATTAATATAAGACCCTGTTTTATTTTTGGGGAAACACAGTACAAGACAATAGATTTTGGTTGTCTTGACTTGACCACATACTTTAATTAGGAAATTTCAAAAATGACTGACCAAGAGCCTTTATCTCCAAGACACAGGTTTCTCTTTGGAGTTTCCATAACTTTCACAAACCAGCTTTGCACAAAATGTTTGTTCTTTCCCATTGAGAAGCAAAAGATACGCACAGACAGTAAGATCAAGACAATGGCTGATTGTTCAAAGACACAGAAATGCCTCATCCCATACTTCTAACATTCATAGCCAATTTAACAAAGCAGCACCATTGCCATTTTGCGCATTATTTGTATTAAACTGTTTTTCAGAATTGTTTAATTCCTTTAAAAAATCTTACTCATCTTTTCTTGTCAAGAGTATGAAAAATCTTACCCTTTTTAAGGAGCAAAAAGAATGCTTTTGCAGTTCTTTCTCCTTGCTTGCAAGAATTGTTGTTGTTGTTATTGTTGTTGGCAGTTCTTTCTCCTTGCTTGCAAGAATTGCTGTTGTTGTTATTGTTGTTCTTATATGGTACTGTATGCCAAAATGCACACCAATGAAAGCAAAAATGTGCAAACATGCAACACATTTAATCTCAACCTTAATGATAATCAATGAATTTTTGCACACCAATGAAAGCAAAAATGTGCAAACGTGCAACACATTTAATCTCAACCTTAATAATAATGAATTTTGAAAAGCCAGCTAAAAAGTTTAAATAAAGTACACCAGTCTCTGACTTCTCCCAACACCCAATGCCTATGGCTCCAAGTTAAAGGGGACACTGAGGGTTTACATTCCTGTTATGTATCTCCACCTACCAAAGTGATTAGAAAAGTCTCCATTGAATACTAGAGACACATTATTTGAACATTCTGGGATATTAATATTTCTTGGTCAAATACAAGACTCAAGCCAAGTGTTCTCTTCAAGTGACTCGCAACAATAGTTCACTTCATCAGTATCTGAGAGTAAATACATTATAATATTTTGGCAAGTCAAAATGACTATTCAAACAGTATGTTTCCCATTCAAAATGTTTCCCATTCAAGCTACTAATCCTTGCTTAGTAGTTTAAACATTTCTTCTTGCATTTAATGGTGAAGAAAGGCCAGAAGGCCCTATTGTTGCCACCTGTGGACAACTGTGCTTGTCACATCTTGCAACCCATTCTAGTTTCTAAATTTGCACAACATTTAAATAGTTAAACCACCTCTGTCTCTGAACTCAAACGTTTTGTAATATGCCTGTACCTCAACTGGTTTTGTTTCAGGTCTGTATCTTTAAACAAGGGGCCACCACAAAAGTAATTGAAGAACAGAAGGTTCCCTATTCCTTCAAAGGAAACCAGTGGGTTGGTTATGATGATGTGGACAGCATTAAAAAGAAGGTAAGATAAATATCACACATATTTGCTTAATGTTCGTTTATTGTTGAGAAGAATTTAGTGGAGCTTAATCAGTGTTTTGCTTAGAAATGACTAGAAATGGTAATAGCAAGATAGGCCAATTACTTGCCACTTTTTATACTAAAATTTCCCGGACAGAAGAAAGTTTTCTGCAGGAACTGCAATAGTTTTTAAGAGAGTGCTGGTGGGTGTAAAATAGAGAGACAGTGAGACAGAGAGAGAGAGAGTATCTGTGCACACATGTATGTGTGAAAGAGTGTACACATGGACCAAAACACACATGCCAAGTGTTGGCTGTGGAAACTGCCATGCACTACAAACTATGTTTCTTTTGGACCTGACTGTAGGAAAGCAAATAATATGAGATCAGTAGGAATCCACAGACCTTTGGGTTTTATCAACACAGAATACTGAATTTACAAATATAAATTATTTTATTTCTACAGAACACTATAAATATTCTTTGTAACAAATTCTGTTCAGACACAAAATATTGTATTTACAAACACAAATTACAAATACAGATTCCAAAAATACCAAATACTGCATTGTACAATTGGTAGTTTTTGCCAAGCTGCCCTAAACACGCAGGGTGGTATAAATGTTTATTATAAAGAAAATGTTACTTCTCCAACTGGTGGAATAAACGTTTATTCATAATAAACATTTTAGTTGCCACTTTTGTTGCGGATGTAACTAAATTACCTCTTGTGGAGGGGCTCAAGTTGTTGTACATAAACACAGAGCTAGCTACTTATCAATAATTTGTCAGAAACAGATTCTTGTTTTTTATATATGGCACCTGAGGGGGCACTTCACTGTGTCATTTTGAGGTGGACATTATCCCCTGCTCTGGTCACAAGCCACTTATGGCAGGTTGATAAAACTTTATGCAGGTTGATAAAACTGTGGATCCAGTCTGGAACTATGTTTGTTGCACCATTGTAAGCCTTTGAATTCCTGATTACTGTTTCCTCCAGGTTGCATATTTGAAGCAAAACCATCTGGGAGGTGGCATGGTTTGGGCCATGGATCTTGATGACTTCAGTGGTTCCTTCTGCAATCAAGGCACATACCCACTTCTTCAGACTCTGAAGAGAGAGCTGGGCTCTTCAGGTTAATCTGCTCTTATTATGGTTGTTTTCTTTGAAGACATCATTCATTCATAAGGCCTGTGCAGAACTGAATGTTTACCCAGCCCTCTCATACGCCAATAGAATTTGCTTTATAATGCTGTGTCGCAATGGATAGTTCCCTCTTTGATGTAAACACAAAATAAAACTAGGCATCTGTGAAAAGTAAAGTGCATTCCTTGAAGCAATCTCCTAGTCTCTATTTGTACTTCTTGCTGTGATTAATTTGGACTTGTCCAGATGAGCGAAAGTACTGCAGCAAATGAGCGTGGATCGGCATGGTTCATCTTAAGGGGGACCAGGGTTTACCATCAGTAGCACCTGCACTGCCAGCTCCTTGAAAAGCACCTCTCAGCTAGCATGGTTTTATTTTTATTGTTCTTTTCAAACCAGAATAATGAGAAGTACAGATTCTGGCAGTGAAAATATTTTTCCTCAGAAATTAGAATATCTGAGATACCATAAATGGCTTGTTGTTAGAGACATGATGTTACAAAAACACATAACAAAGAATGGAGTTGTAAAGAAGCAAAATTTGCACATAACAGGCAGCTGTGTCTAAAGCTTATTTGCAAAAAATTTCTGAAGGAAAGTTTGGGTTTATAAGATTCCACCTCCCCAAAAAAGATTGCCTGCTGGGTTTGGATTTCACCAAGCTTTCTCCCATGTTTATTAAGATGTTCAATGCAATGGTTTGCTCAGTCTCTTAGTGCTTCAGGACTAATTTCTTTCTGGCCATAAGGGAACATACTGGCTACATTCTTCATGACAGAAATCTCAATCAAGCTAGGATCACATAGTGATCATGCTGAGATACTGACACTAGGCACCTGTCAAATACAGATAGGATTTGCTGGTACTGGCAGCAAACAAAGACCATGCAGACTGAAGAAAATACTTCCTGAATAAGTAAACTCCTACTAGGATAACATCACCACCATCAGTTCTTTTACGCCTACTTCCACAGCAGTTCAGTCACAAAACAATGGCACATTGAAGGTGTTCCTCCATTTAGTTTGATCCTACTGCCAGTTTGTTGATCTTTATGATTTTCAAATTATGGGGTGCATTTCATCTTTATATATGAAGCCATATTTTAAGGCAGCTATCAAATCTATCATTTCCTCACCAACACCACCAGAAAGACATGAGACACAGTAACTGGGCTAAAATAATGATCCCACTTTTGTAACATCACATATTTCATTTGCTACTTAGTGACTTCTAAAAGCTAATTTCTTATGAGAACATGAGTAAATTTGCTATCAAAATGAGAGTTAGGAACATGTTGTCCCACTGCTTGTCTTGTACAGTTAATGAAGAAAAAGTAGGAGAGAAGGGATCTTATAGAGAGACAGACAGAAAGAGAGAGACAGACAGACAGACAGACACAGAGAGACACAGACAGACAGACAGACAGACAGACAGACAGACACACACACACACACACACACACACACACACAGGCCACTTCTGAACATCAAATTCTCCCAGCCTCTTTTCTATTGATACAAAGGAAATATGATGTGGGTATGTAATTCTAAAGCCCAGGTACGTTTTAATAAAATTTCAGGAGAGTTGTGTATGTGACAATTATACACCATATCCTCAGCTGAACCTACATTACAGATTTAAATATCCAGTTCTTGTTATATGCCATTATGTTGTTGTGATTCTTAATGGCTCTAATAGGCTTTTCTGGGTTATGTGGGTTGTTCGAAGGGTAGTTTCACCAGTGAGTTTCCATGGCCGAGCAGAGATTTGGTCTCCTGAGTCCTATTCTAGTCTGACACCATATATTACACCAAACTAACTCTCATGTTTCCAATAACATTCTAAAAGTCAACATACAAATAACTCTGCATCTGGCATGGTTATGCAGAAGACAGTGCATGTGTCACTAGAGGCTACAAGTCACAAAAAAAACCCACCTCCAGATATTTAGAATTTTTTAAATAGTATAGTTTGAATTATTGCCTAATATGGTCATGTAAGGGCAATTGCACAAGCTTACCTACCTCATCAGCAGACCATCAGTCTCACATATATACTAATTCATTGATACAGTAAACAATGGTACAGCCAGTCACCTGCCTGGCTTTGTGACAGATGGCAAGCAGGAGGGATAAAACTGCTTGCAAGATTGCTCATATGTGCATGGTTTTCTACAATAGGATTTTGGCCTTAATGCTATTCTTCCTGCAGGTCTGACTCCAAACCCGAAGCCTCCAGTTCCAAATGAACCATCAAGACCAGATCCACCACAACCTGCTCTACCTGTAAGGAACGACTTTTGTTTCGACAAGGTTGACGGAATCCACGCTGACTTAGAAGATAACACGAAGTTCTATATGTGCTCCCACAAGAATGCATTCAGTATGTCTTGCCCGGCAGGACTAATCTTTGATAAATGGTGTAGTTGCTGCAATTATCCCCAGTGAATTATTCTCATTCAGGATATAACTCCAAATATGGATGCATTCCATTTTAATGAGTGCTAATTAACATTTTCATGTTTCGCTATATAAAACTCAGTATCTTCAAGTGCTGACATATTTCTGCAATTTTTAGCATATAAGATGAAACTGTCAAATGATATTTTTCAACAAAGAGCAAGGTGACAACAAAGATATTAGCAACTTGAGCAAAATTACACCACTTATTCTAGAACAATATGCATTGCCATGTATTCTCTATTCTTGTCTATTATTTTCTTTTATTGAAATTGTTCAGCTGTAACTCATTTGAAATCCCAGTAGTTATTAAACACCTTTTGTTCTCTCCAGATAGCAGGCCACACGGCTTGTGAATTAACTGAAACAATAGATATAAAATGGTTTATACAAAAATATGTGTTTCAAAATTTTATCTCCCTGTATGGTTTAATCAGATTCCATTGTGTTTTGAGAAAACAAATTGAACCTGGAAACCAGAAGACCGATATTTCCTGTAAGCTTAAGTTTTTGTGGTATCTTAAGGTGCTTACTGAAACATTATTCCTATGTTATGGGATTACTAAATACATCACATCTCTTAACACTAGATGGTGCTGTACACTTCTCTTAGTAATACTATTTTATTTGCATCAGATGATTATTCCTCTGAGTAGCTAAGTTTTCAAAATGTGTGTTGATTTGTAATTCATAGTGATTTCATACTTGTATTCACTTCCTTTAAGCCAGTCTTCCTGTGACACAGAAGGCTTTCGCAGTTAGCATCTCAATCGTTGCTTGTGTAAGCTGTTACGTGGATATGGATTTTATTTATTTTTATTTTATTTTATTTATATCCCGCCTATCTAGTCGATAGACCACTCTAGGCAGCTTACAACATGGGATAGCACTATAAAAACAACAGAATTACATAATAGAAAACTTTCAACAATTAGGTTAAAACATTAGGAAAGAAAAGAGAAGGGGATCAGGAATTAACTAGGAGGGAAGGCCTGCTGAAACATCAATGTTTTTAATTGCTTTTTGAAAATACCGAGCGAGGGGGCCGCGCGAATATCAGGGGGAAGGTTGTTCCAGAGGCGAGGAGCCACCGCCGAGAAGGCCCGATTTCTTGTCTTTTCCTTCCGGGCCTCCCTCGGCGTTAGGCTCCTCAGCCTCACCTCCTGGCTCGCGCGAGTGACACGGGTAGATCTTGGTGGTAGAAGGCGTTCCGCCAAGTATCGAGGCCCTAAACTGTTTAGGGCTTTGTACGTAAGCGTCAACACTTTGAAGTCGATGCGGAATCTGATGGGCAGCCAATGCAATGCGGCCAGAGTGGGTGAGATGTGGTGGAATTTTTTCACCCCACTGAGGAGTCTGGCCGCCGCATTCTGCACCACCTGAAGTTTCCGCAACAGCCTCAAAGGCAGCCCCACGTAGAGCGCATT